TATATTAATAGTTATTAATATGCAAGCAAAGGGCAGGGAAATATAATTTTATATATTAAAAATAAAATAAAAAGTAAAGGCTAAAACTAAGGCTTAACTGCTATAATAAAAAAATGTAAAATAAAATATTATAATAAGATAAATAATTACTAATAATAATATTTAAAGCGTGACATAAAACTATATTAAATATTAAAGTAAAAAAAATATAAAATAAAAGGCAAGCGTGGGAAACCTTAAAAAAAAAAAAGGGGTTAAAAACACGTGGTATAATAAAAGCTATAATAAAAATAAACCATGTTTAATTTAACTACTAAAAATAGTTTTAAAAATATAAAAATAATAAGAGCTAAATATAAAAAGCTTATTAGCTAAATTAAAAAGGCAAGTGCGTAATAAGATATAAAAAAAAGGTAAATAAAAGGTTAATATAATAATATATTAATAGCTAAAATAAAATAATTATATATTATAAATAGCTACTAAAGGTATTAAAAAAAGCGTAAAAATAAGGAAATTTAGTTATTTAAAGCTTAAAGCTTTATTATAAAAACTAAGTATAAAGTAAAATAAAATATGCAGGCTAAATAATACTAATATAGGATTAATATTATTAAAATAAATAATATAATACTTAAAAAGCACAGGAAAAAGTAAATATAGGGTATTTTAACCTTAAAAATATAATTAAATAATTAAAAAGTAATAAAAACATAATAAAAAGGTGTATACTTATAGTAGGCATTTTTAATTAAGTTATAAAAAAAACTTAAAAAAAAAAAAAAAAAGATCGCGAAGGCGCTTTAGTATTAAAACTAAGATATTATACCTAGCTACCACAGGTAGTAATGCTATATTTAAATTTAAAAGTAAAGTAAGGTAATTAAATTAATTTTTTATACCTAACTTTAAATATAAATTACATGTAAATTATAACACTTTATAAATTTAAAAATAGCTTATTTTATAATACTTAATAAGATTTATAATTTAAATTATATTTTATAAAGTATAAATATAAATTTATAAATCACAAGGGCGCGATTACTTAAAAAAAAAAGTATTATTATTACTATTATAATATTATAACTATATAATATTATAATAATATAATTTAGTAGCCTAAGGCCACTAGGTAAAAGAACTTTAGCATTAAATTAGCCGCGTGTTAAGGCGGCGGCTAGTTACATAATATATAAAATACTAAGTTTAACTTTAAACTCTAACTTAAAAGAATTAGCAATTAGTTCCTACTATAAATACACGACACCTTTCCTATTACAGTAATTCATGTTCTCCTAAGCTCACCGCAGTATACAAACGCGACTCACAGTATTTTACTTATATAAAATTTTTATAAATATTATAATAAATTATAAAAGCATGTTTATAAAGGGGTTTTAATTAAACTTTATATATAGTATTTTAGTTAAATATTTAATAAATATTATATACCACCCGCAAATAAATAGTTAAATAAAATACTTAAATAATATTTTAAAATAATTTTTATGAAAATATATTAACTTTTTATAAAATAATTAGGTTAATTATTTATTTTTTATAAAGTTTGCTTATAATAATTTGTGGTAGGCATTTATTTATAATATATTATTTTATATAATATATAAGATAAATCCCAGGGTTATAATACTTAACTTAAAATTAAAAATAAGGTATTTTATAAAATATTAAATTAAGTAAAGTATTTATAAAAAATTTAGGATATTATATAAAAAGGTATTAAAAATATTTAAGTAATATAGGTAAAATACTTTAATAAAAAAAAGGTGGAAAAAACCTTTATAAAGGGTAATTATATTTAGGTTAGTAATATTAACTAATTATAAATAAAACTAAATTAAAAGCTAAACTAGCTATAAGCTAGTTTATATAAAATAATTAAATAAATAAAATAAAATATTTATTATATAGCTTTATTAATAAATTTTTATATATATAATATTTTTTATATATTTATACTTTATAAATATAAAAAAATAAAAAAAGTAAATACTTGCAAGTAATATAAAGCAAGGTTTGTAAATAAAAGTTAGGTTAAGTATTATATAAAAATAATATTAGGGCTAGGGATAGAAAACCCTAAGTAACTTTATATAAAATAGTTAGGGTATAATAAGGTAATAAAAAAATTAGTTTACGGGCTAAGGCACTTACAAGTATATAAAAAATATATAATAAAAAAAATAAAACCTAGTTTTTAAAAATAAAAAATAAAAATAAAAAATAATCTTTGCAAAGCCTAAAAAAAACTAACTAATAATTAATAATATTATTACTTATAAACTAACCGTGACTATTAACCCCCTTTTATAATTATTAATACCTTTTATAAATTATTAATTAAATATATATGCCTTTTTATATATAAAAAGTAAAATTAAATATTTTATAAGTGTAAAAAGCTTTAAAAATAATATTAAGTAATTATTTATAATTTTTAAGCTAATAATTATTTAATACTAGTTTAAGTTTTATATAAAAAAGTAGGAATATAAGTAATATAAATAATTATTATATTTTTTATTAATACCCCTAAAAATATATTTTATAAAAGCGGGATAACTAAATAATTTTTTTAAAAAAATATTAATATATTTTATATACTTATGGCCCCGCGGAGGTTTTTACCTAGTATATATTATAAAAATAACCTTATAAGTTTATATATATATAGTAATTTAAATTATACTAGTAAAGTTATATTAATATATATGCCTTTATACTAGTATAAAAATTTAATATAATTTATAGCTAAATAATAACTTAATATTATTATAAAATAATAGTTTTAGCAGGACTAACAGGCTAGTAATTATAAAAAAATTTTTAAATTATTTAATATATTTTTAAAAAGCTTTATAAACTAGGCTTACACCTAATTTATAATACTTACCTTATTTAAAAATAAGGTATTTTATGCCACCCTAGTAAGTGGCCCTTTAATAAAATAAAGTATAATAATAAAAAGGTTACCTAGTAACTATAAATAAGTTAGTAATAATTTTATAAATAAGGATTTTATAAAAAAAATCTTATAAATAAGAATATATATAAGTAAAAAGTAAAAAAAAACTTTATATATATTAATAAGTAAAGAACTTATAAGCATAAAAGTAAAAATACTTACTAGTTATTATAATAATATAATAATTTTATAAAGTTTTATATTAACACCGCGAACACGTACTATTTAAAAAAAAATTAGTAAAAAAGGATAGCTAGGTATTAAGTAAAACTTGTTTAAATTAGTTAAGCCTAAACTAAATATTAAAACCTTAGCTAGTAGTAAAAGGCGGGATATTAACTAGGCTAAAAATAAAAATAAAAGCTATTTTATAAAATATTATTTATAAAAGTAAAAAGAAATTTATTTTTAATTAATTATATATAAGTTAGCTATGCTTGCAAAATAAAATTTATAAAAATAAAATTAAAATTTTATAAAATAAAATTAAAAGCTTGGGAGTAGGATTAAAAGCTTATAAGTAAGTAATTAAAGCTTATAAGTAAGTAAAGTTAAAAGCTTATAAGTAGGTAAAAATAAAAGCTTATAAATAAGTAAAAGTTTATAAAAAGGTAAAGGTAAAACTTTATTTTTATAAAAATTTAAAACTTATAAAATATATTTTTTAAAGTATAAAAGTTTATAAAACTTTTTTATAAGGTATAAAGGCTAAATAAGTAAATACTAGTATAAAGGGGTATATAAAATATATAAAATACTTAGTAAAAAGTAAGTAAAGGTAAGAAATTTAAAGTATATAAGCAGGTATTATATTATTTAAGGTATTAAAAAATTTTACAAGCTATTTTAACTAGTAACCTAGTAAAAAAAGACTTATAAAATATATTTATATAATAAAAAAAATAAAAAAGGCTAATTAAAAAAATATACTTATAAAAAGCAAGTAACTTATAAATAAAAAAAGTTATATAAAAAAAAGGGATTAAATAGGAGCTTTAATATTAAGCTTACTTAAAAAAAGTATAAAATAATAATATTTTATAAATATTAAAGGTAATTATAACCTATAAAAAAGCAAGAATACTATAAATATTAATTTTTTATAAAAATTATAGGAGAATAAATAAAAAAAAAATTAATTAAAAAAATAAAATATAGCTAGTACTTTTATATAAGCCTAGGATATTAGAATAATTATAAACTTTAAATAAATATACTTATAAAAAATAAATAATACCTATAAGCATGCTTATATTTTATATAAGATTTTAATATTATTAAGAAAAGGCTTTATAAAATAAAATTTAATATATTTAAAAAAGGTACTAGCAAGATTTAGCTATATAAAAAAAATATAAATAAAATATATCTTTTTTTACTATACATAATAATTTTTTTTTATTAAAGGTTTTTTAAGTACTAGCAGGGGTTTTTTAAAAGTATCTTATAAATTATATATATATATATATATATTTATTTATTTATAAGGCCTTAAAAAACTAAGGCTATAAAAAAAGGGGTAGTTATAAGGCTTATTATATTATATATAACTTTTTTATAAAACTTAAAAATATTTATAAATAGCTTTGCTTGTAAATAGCTAAGTTAGCCTTTAGGTATTAATTTAATATATATTAAAAATATTTAGCCTTTGCAAGGCTAGAAATTTAAACCTTAGTATTAATTTTAATATTTTTATTTTTTTTAAAATTACTATTTATAAACCTTTTTTTTAGGTGTATTACATCCTATCACACTATTTGCAAATCCCTAAGGCCAAGGACCTTATACCTAGCCCTTTTTAACATAGCTCCGCTGCAATATAAAGCTCCTTAAATAAAAAAAGGCTATAATTAAGCTTGTTTCCCCATATTTTACTTTCTTTTTACACTAAATAATCCTTATACTTGGCCTTAATTATGCCATATTAATTAAATACTTAGAAAGTAATATCGCACATGTCCTTGCTGGGCACTTCCATTTTTTCCCAGAATTTAGAGCGTACGCCCTTTTAGTCAATATAGCAGGCTAGAGCAGTGGCAACAACAACACCATTATAAGTGCATTCGGCAATAAAGGTCTTCATCCACATCGACTGGTCCACTCCCTCGTCGGTCAAGAAGAGTCGGATCTTCACCGTTCGTGCCGTATCACCGAGGGTGGTATATTCGTGTTCTTCAATGTCTTGTTCACACTCCGAATCTTCGCTTTCATCCCCCGTCCACCAATCTTCTTCCTTGGAATTATCGAGGTCACCATGTTCAAAACCATCATCCGTCAACTCGTGGTCTTCGAGGTCCGTCCCTGCAGGTTAAATTGTCAGTGTGGCCTCCACCACTTGTAGATTATTACATCTCTGCGTAAGTCAAAGGCAAGAACAGCGCACTTCTTCGCTTCAAGGACATCCGGCCCAACACACTTGTAGGTCCGTCCTTCTCCATTCTCTTCATCGATCGGGTTTCTTGGTCTTGTGAAGTAGAAGACGAACAGCAGGAGACGTAAGAGACTAAAAAGAAAGACAAGGGATGAGAGAAGCGGGGGATGAACCAATATAATAACGGAATTTTATTTTCGGGGCGGCTGTTGAGATTGGGGATATGCCCGGTGATCTCTTGTCTTCCATGGGGTAATCGACAGGTGGGTCCGCTTCAGAGGGGACAGCAATAAATGATTCGACGAAAGCCCACCCGCCCTCACTCTTGGCCGAAGGCTGCAGGTCATCTTTCCCCAGCGAGGGTAAGGGATGCTTGTTTCAACCGTGGTCTTTATGTGAGCTGTTGTTCTACCGTAACCTATAATACTCTGCGCAAGAACCGACACTGGAGAGTCACTAAATTTTCGTATACGTGAATATAGCTGAACATTACCATTAATAACAATATTTAGGTAAGATTAATGTCAGCAAAGGACATCTTCCCAAGACTCTCAACCCATCAGAGTCCGCAAGCCCGGGATCGGTAACATGTGCGCATCGTAAGCCAGTGAGGATTGATGAGATTGGAAAGAAGGCCAGGCGGCTCCTCGAGCGGGTGACCCAAAGCTTCAAACGATTGCGGGCCGAAACAGATCATGGGACCCACCCGTCCAATGGCCTGCTGTGACCGCAGTCCGTGTTGGCTCGCGGGACCTTGCCCTCCGCTGTCCTGCTGGGACCACAGTCCGTGCTGGCTCACAAGCCGCTGCGGACCGCGAGCCAGCTGGGCCGCCTGGCAACCAACTGGTATCTCGCGGGGCCTCCTGGCAAACAATCGGTATCTCGGGGGGCCTACGACCAGGACAGGCTATGAATCGAGTGCTCGCAGGCCACCGTGGGCCAAGAGCATACAACTGAAATCTTGATATGACATAGATCTTCCTACAATTCCGCCTCTCGCGCTATCGACCGCATCGTGTCCTCATCCATCGCTAGGTCTCCGCCAAGTTGCATAAAAATCATATTGCTTCCGTCCTCAATCGCCGCCTCAAAACACTGTGCTGGCGTCAGCTTCCGCCCATTCTTGTCATAGAACGTAGCCTGTCGGTTTCTCGCCTCCTTCCTCGCAAATCGTTCCACCTCTGACGGGTCTGGCCCTTCTATCACCACCTCGTGCGCGGTCCTCCAATTGCCGCTGTCGTCCCGAATACGGAACACGACCGTAACTGGTTGATCACTCGCCCCTGCCCGACGCGGTCGCACATCCTGCGCCGGTCGTTCCACAATCCGTGGCGTGAGCTTCTTTCTGCTGCGCCGTTCGGTCTCACTCTGCGTGGCCGTCGTCGTCACTGGTGGCGCTGGAGCATCAGGCGCCTCCGCCAGATTACCATCCCAGTCCGCAAAGTCAAGCCGAGTAACTACCTTCTCTGCTCGAGCTGTGCTCGCTTTCAGCCGTTTTCCAGAATGGCCAGGTAAAGCCCCCTCGGCTCTGGCCAGATTCGCCCGTTCAGGGAGAAGGGCGGTGGCACTCTCGGAAGGCACAGCTGGAGGCGAATTAGCTGGGACCATGGACAATTGACTTTCCGCCGTTACATCGCCTGTCTGACTTCCAGAGGTCGATACGCCTGACGGAACCGCAGGCGGTGAGATCCGGGGAAATCTTTGGTCCACCAAGTCCTCCCCTTCCGGAGTGGCTGCAAACCCTGCCGCCTCGTGAGAGATATCGAAGCGAACCTGGCGCACTCTTGTGGCCCCTTCATCGACGGACATACGTTCCGATCGCGGAATTTCCAAGGCCTCTTCAAGTTCAATATCGATAGCCTCGACTCTCATGGTTGTGTGGTGGGCATCCCGCGCCGTCGGTTTCGCGGTCGAGATCTTTTGGATCTTGCTGGGTTTCGCTTGCGGCTGCTGTCTCTGCTTTGCGGCACTCGCTTGATGAGTATGAACTGGGGGTCTTTCATTTGCCACCTCTCCGGATGGTTGTGGGTCGATGTTGTGTTCCGGTGGAATCGATGCCTCGCTGAAAGTCTCAGTGGCCTGTCCTGCCGACAGCATTACAATATCCGACAGATGAAGCTCAGTGACAGGCCGATGCTTGTTGCTTGAATCTACCTCCCTATTGGCCGGCGAATTGGAAGCCTCTAACTGGGCTAAAGTCGCCGCTCGCTCAAGAGCCACTTGCTGACCCAGCTCCCAGTTTCCAATCGTCCTCTGTTCCGCGTCGGCCTGGAGTATGTCGTCCACTTGTTCGTCACCAGCTTCCTCAACAACATCTTCACTGGCTTTTGCCATTTCACCGTCGTGCTCCATCGGCCTCTCATCCAGTTGTGAGATCCGCGTTGCGGCATCTGCTGAGGCTCCTATGCCCGCGTGCCGTACCCTCTCCAGCTCAGTCGCTTTTGAAGCAATGCGAAGTTCTCCATCGCTCGCCCGTCGGAGTGGTTCTTCCATGACCACGTCCTGAGAATCTCGTTCGGCGACAATTTTACCTCTTTCCTTGCTTGCCTGCGCGATCTCTGCCGCATTTGTAGGACCTTTTGGCCCTATCTCCCTGCCTTCGGCTGGCCGGTTCGTCTGGGCCGCTTGGCGCTATTTTCGGAGTAGATTCAGTGGTGAGGGTGTTGTCCGCCCCGGAGTCTCCCTGCGCCGCCCGCTCCCCCGCTTCCCTACTCATATGGTCGAGCGTTAACTCGAGCTCTCGCTCTAACTCTCTACGATCATCATTCGCCGTCGGAGATTGAGCCTCCCTGGTGAATGGCTCTTCCGCTCCGTCTGGGAGAGTTCGATCGCCCCAATGAGAAGCTGCCTCCGAGAGCTCGTCGATTTCTATGTGAGTGACCGTTGAAGCGCGGTAGAAGTCCCTCTGGAAGCGATCTGATTCTTCCGCCTCAGGGTTGTAATTCTCTTCTATGTTGTCAACCATTAACTCTTCGTGACTCTCAAGCGAGAACACATCTGCACTTTGGGCATCAGACTGAGCATCTTCCATATTGAGATCAGTGGGTTCCGGGACTACCGGAATCTGATCTTCAGTGGCCTCCGATCGACTTGCAGCTCGCAGCTCCCGTCGCTCCCGTCGCTCTTTTTGCCGCCGACGCTCCTTCCTCCGCTTTCGCTCTCGTCGTTCTTTGCGTACAGCCTCGTGAGAATTGTGCTTATGAGCCCGGCCCCTATTCCTTCCCTGGTTAGGAGATACGGCTGGAACGTTTTCCAAGTCCGAGCCACCCTGGGGAATAAAGAGTGGCGAGCCGGGGCGCGAATCGCCTAGGGACGGGCTCCCCACAGGCCTGACTGGTGGCGAGTCTGGCAGGCGACCAAAGAAGGCAAAATAAACACATTGTCTTACGAACAAAGTTGTTACTTTGCCGCCAAGATGCAGATTGTTGCTGTTCAAATTGTCGAGAAAGAGGAACGGAGAATCCCGCTTCTGGTCCTTACGGTGTGGAAGGTCACGTCGCGCCTTGGGCTTAGGTTCTCGGTTCCTGATCAGCTCATGAGAGGACTGCTGGTCGAGAGGAATCGCCTCAGAAAAACAATCACAGATTCGAGTCATAAGAGATTCGAAATTCTCACGATCGTAACGATAAAACCCTGGCTGCCGGGCTTTTAGCAGGACGTCGCGTGCCATCTGGCGATCGGGTGACTGCTCGGCTAGTTGCTGAATAGGTGGGGAGTTAAACCCGAGTCGCTGTGCGAGCATAGCCAAGCCATGTAGAACCATATCGTCAGCCTTCTCACAATCTGGCTTGGCCAGTAAGTCATCACTCCCGGATGGTCTGGGCATCTTTGGATAGTGACGCATGGCGTAGAGCCAAAGTTGCCGATACCCTAACTCTGCCCGGTCGGTTTGAGTGCCCGGTTGCTGCCGGAAATCGATCTCTGAGGTTTGGATAGTGCAGTACTGATTGCCACGATCCGGCTGGAAAATGTGCATGAGGGCAATCTTGATGGAAGGGTGATCCTTACTAGGGACCACCAGCCGCTTCATGCAGTTTGCGCATGCCTCAAGGTACCACATATTTTGGAAAAAATGATCTAATGAGGGAATGATCGTTTTCCTCTTTTTGAGTCTCTTCCAGATCTCCTTGCGCTCAGAGGAGGTGAAATTTTGACACACTGCGCCACTAAGAACTAGGCCTTCCACTTCTGTCGCATCTCGTGAAGAGACTCCAGGAGCCTTGCCTTGCAGCCTGGCGACGGTCTGCGGGTCTAGCTTCATCATCTTCTCACGATCGTAACTTAAGTAATGCGACCACTCCTCCAACAATGAACTTAACCCATGAACGATTTCCTTCTCGCTCAGTATGGATGCAGACGTTTAAGGTGAGGGCTGGACATACCTCGTTACAGCTTGTTGCGAGAACTCTAGGGAGCGAACCGAATTTCATTCCCTGTAATAATAAGGCGGGAATCATGCGCAGTCGGTTGAAGGTGGCACGTACTGTGGTTCGTGAAGAAAGCTGCTTGAATCGTTTGACTTTGTTTGGCGAGAGACGTGCCATCCATCGGTTCTCGAAATGCGCATTCCCTTCATATTGGTACTGGCGAACTTTAAGATACACCTCTCCGTCACTCGGAATCTTTTCATTCGAATACTCGTCCACAAGGGCCGTTAATAGGCTGGCACTAATATCTTTACTAGGATTATTAGAAGTTGAAAGAGACAATTATAGCCTCACGGAAAAGGTTGACAGAGTAGGTGGATTCGTACCATCGAGATAGAGATCAACCGCCCACCATTGTTCAGCAGGTGGGAGCTGTTCTTTTGCAGCCTCCAAACGATGCTGGCCGTGAAGGCACTGTATCTGGCCCACTGGGAATTCAAGGAGAGGGTATCGATCTGGCGGGCTAGTCTTTAAGCTTCGAGCCGTTACTCCCGCTGTTTGGAGCGCCACAGCCAAATGCTGTCGTGACACAACCGCTACGACATGGTTTCGAATATCCAACCGTCGACAACCGTCATGAGAGAAGACCTCACTCAGCCGTTCCACGTTTTTAGGATCTAGCTCCCGGGATATGGATGGGTGTGGAACAATCTGGTTGATGAATACTTTCGCGGTACCTAGGTATTTCAAACTCCTCTCCTGAGCTAACTGGAACTCTGTGGGAGTTAGCATCGTTTGATCCATAACGGCAGCCACCAAAAAGCAAAGAGCTTTCATATATAAAAAAGAGAAACAATTTGCTTCCCTCGGGGCTTAAATGGTCTAATCGCGTTCGGCAACCTAATGGGGTTTGCTGTTTTCGAGGGGTAAAAACTCCCCAGCGAGGCTCCAGGGCTGGTACCCGCCACATTATCCGCAAATCAACCGCTTCCCCATTATTGTTGTCGGTTCGACGTCCAGGCTCCCTGGGGACCACAATGTCTGAATATTAAAGCGGGTTGGAGTTAAATCGATCCTATAGCCATCGCACCTCACTGAGAAATAGGCGGGCAGTCCTTTCCGGTCGGGGTTTTGCCACGGAATTTGTATAAACATTAGGACTTGCCAGGAGCTCCACCCATCGCTCTTTGGTCTCCTCCAGGATACAGACTGATGAAAAGACACAATGGATTCAAAGGATCATACCCTTCCCCAGAGTCCACCCCATCCACAGGTGCAACCTAGCCCGCAATCTGGGCAAGGCAACGGAGTTAAACACCCCGATTCGAATTGTCCCAGAAAAACCATTCAAGGTCCACTCAAAACATTTGGCCTTCCACAAGTCGTTAACTCTGAAATTTGTTCAACTATTATCTTGAGAGACCAAGAATCTCCCTGGGATACATTTCAACCCGTCTTCAGCTGCAAGCTTGCCGGCAAAGTAACTACTGCCGTGCAAAAATCTCGCCCTTATCGGCTGAAAGCAATCCGAGAGTATCTCCCAGAGTCCTCTAGACACATTCTGCGACTCTTTCGTACCATCCAACATGGAAATATCCTCTCCGCCAAAGAATGTTATCAAGATGGGGACAGGCTCTTCGCCTTGGTGGAATATTGTCCTCTTACCCTTGAACACCCCGTTAGTCTCGGTCCTGATCAAGCTATGCTAGGTGCGATCATATCCCAGGTACGTTACATAATAGTTATTGTGGGATGACTTTGCTAACATCTGGAGATCCTTGACGGCTTGCATCACTTGATCACAGCTGGTTTTAAGCATACCAGCTTGACCTGCTCAAACATCCTCCTGGCTCCGAATGGAACTATTAAACTAGGTAATATTCAAGCTCAAGGACTAGGAAGATATCCCTGACAAGCCAATAGCAGCATTAGAATATTGTGTTTGGCATGCCCCTGGTTAATCCTAAATATCTATAATTAATACTATAGCTACTATTATAATGCAACTTATGCAGAGTTATAAGATAAATAATAAAATAATTAGGGTTAATAACATTAACTATTAGCCTTTAAACTTCTAAGCATTTAAATTTTTGAAGGTAACATTCTTTGCTTAGTTTATTAACACCCTAATAAAAGCAAGTATTTTTCCCTAGAAGTGTTGCCTTTTACTTATAGTTTATAATATTTATGAAGCTGCCTTACTGCTTTGGCTTGCCTGGCCCTAATTATAATAAAAATATTTTATATCTACCTTATGTAACTAGTCCAGCCATTGTATAATATAAAATTATATTTAAATATAGTTCTGGCACATGTTTGCTTGTTTAAACAAATTATGGTGTGAAAACCTTGAGTAGGCTAACCAGGTATAAAACAAAGTACTAAAAGGCTATGTAGTAAGGGATTAATATTAAATCTTAAGGCCTAGAATATATAAAAACTAACTTTTTGTGAAAACCTTGAGTAGGCTAACTAGGTACAAAACAAAGTACTAAGAGAGTTATTTAATAGGGGATTAATATTAAACCTTAAGGCCTAGGATGCATAAAAACTAACTTTTATTTAATTATTTTTTATTAGGGTGTTAGCCTTAAATATATTATTAAAATAGTAGTAATATTACTATTATATAGTAGGTTAATATTACTATAATTTTTATTTTATTAGCTTTTTTATTTTATTAGGGCTTAGCACCCGTGGGTATAATAATTTAGCCCTTTTTTAATAAAAATTAACCTAATTTTTAAATAATTTTAATTTTTATAATAAGCATGTTTTACTATTATTTTACTTTAATTTTATATTTAATTATCTAGTTTTTTTATTTAAAATAATTTATTATTAAATACGGGGTTATTTTAAGGCTTAAAATAATATTTTTTTATTTATATTTTACTTTTAAATAATTTTGCTTTTAATAGCTAAAATAGCTATTTTAATAAATAATAAAAGTTTTAAGTTATTTTTTATTAATTTAAGCGTTAATAAATTGTAAATAGGTAGTATTTTATAAATAATAAAAAAATTAATATAGTTATTATAGTGCTATATTATTAATATTATATAAGTAATTAAATATAAAAGAATAAATTTTTATTTACTTCCCAATCTCTTTTTTTTAACTTTTTTAATCTTTTTAGCTTATTTTTTTAATTTTTTTATTTAATTTCTTATAGCCCGATATCTTATTTTTTTATTATTTTATTAACTATTTAATTTTATGGCCCCTATAATAAGATTTAAAATCTATTTTTTTTATTAAAAACCATTATTACTACCTTTAAAAACGTGGAAGGGAATGGCAAAGGTTTTTCTAGTAATTTAAAAGGGAAGGGCAAGTAAAAAAATAACACCTTAAATAATAAGAAAAAGAAAAAGCCTAAAAAAAGCTAGTAAAACTTATAAGGTTTAATTATATATACTTATTTATTTAGCTATGTTATAATACTTAATATACTTTTAATTTACACTAAAGGCAAGTAATTTAAATAATAATAATATATTATTTTAATTTAGTTATAAGTTTAATACCATGGTGTTAATTTTTTATAAAACTTATTTTTATTATAATAAGGTTTACAAGCTAGTAAGTTTTTAATATTTTTTTTTATATTTTATAGCTAATTTATTATATTTTTTAGGTTAAAGTAATAATAATAAGTAATATATAAATTATAGCTTTTAATTAGCTATTATTATTTTTTTACCTATAAATTGATAATAAAGGAGTCAAGCTTTTTTAAAAAAATAAAAAGTTTTAATAAGGCTAGGAAGTTATATTTTAAACCTATTTTACTATAATTTAATTACTAAAGGCCTTTAAAAATATAAAAAAAGCTTATTATAAAAAATTTTCCCTTTTTAATAAAATAAAAAAAATTAATAAAAAGTAAATTTTTAATACTATATTAAAGTATTATTATATTATACCTTGCTTTTTATTATTTAGCTAATAAATCCCTTTATTATTAATATAAAAAATAATATTAACCTTTTATAATTATACCTCTGCCTTTTTTTTAGTAATTTAGGCCATGTTTAATAATTTATTACTAAATTTTAATTTTAAAAAAAGTTAAGCTTGCCTACCAGGCTTATTTTATTAATATTATAAATTTTAATACTAAAATAAGTTAAACTTATATTAAAACAAAGTTTTTTATTATAATTAAGGGTATTTAAATAAATTAATTATATATTTAATTTAATAACAGCGTCTTACTATTTTCTTACTTTTTTAAAGTTAATATTTAATTTTATTTTTAGTGCCTTTTTAGCGCCTTAGTTATTTATTTTTATTATTTTTTAGTTTTATTATATTAAATAATAGCTTGGTAGTATTAAGGCCTTGTTTTTATAATAATATTTTATTTTTTTATTACTTTAGCACTTATTACTTTTTAGGTTTATAGTTTTTAATAATTACTTATAACTTAAGGCTAAAAAAGTAATTTTTAAGTGGTATTTTATTAGGGTTATTTTTATTTAAATATATTAAATATATTTTAGCTTAAAGTTAAGTCTTATTTTTATTTTTAATTAAATAATAAATAATTATCTTATTGTACTTGCCTTTTCTTATACTTTTAAATAAGATTTAATATATTTATATTTTTAATAAAAATTTATTAATTATATTTTAAAGGCTATTTTTTTTATTTTACTAGGTATAAGTTTTTATTTTTAATAAAGTTATAGCTAATAATATTATTAATTTTTTATTTTTTATTTTTTTTAAATTAAGTATAGCTTTTATATTAATTTTACCATGCCAAGGCTTAAGTAATAAAATATACAAAATATTATATATTTAATAATACTTTTTAGGGAGTAGGAGTTAATACGCTATAAAACTAATTTTATTTAATACTTAAAAAAATTAATAAACTTAGGCTTAAGTTTTACTAGCACTTTTAAATTTAAATTTTTAATATTAAGTTTAATAAGTTATTTTAGCTTAAACTTTATGTTTTTCCAGCCTTTATTATAATAAGTTTAATAATATTTTATATTTTATTTTTAGTTTTTTTTTATATTTAGCTTAAATTTTTTTAAGTTTTTTAATCCTAGTTAATATAGCTAGTATTTTTATTTATTTAAGGTTAACCTTAAATTATGCTATAATTTTTAGGTCTTAGCTATATATAACTTAAAAAGGTAATATTTTAATAATAGTATTTTTAATATTATTATAGGTAAATTATATTATTTTAAGTAGTATAGGCCAGGTATAGTAATTTTTTATAATAAAATAATATAAGTATTATTTTAAAACTTAGTTGATTTACTTGGTCTAGCTATTAGTTTAAAGGTAAAAAGTAATTAATAAATATAACTTAGTTTTATAATAAAACTATAGCTTTTTTAATACTTACTTATAAAAAGAAAGTTTTAATTAAATATAATACCTTTAAGCTAGCTATAATTTAAAGTTTAATTTTAATAAAAAGTTTTAGCAAGTTTATGGGCTTAAATTAATATTAAAATAGGAATAAATTAATATTACTTTTAGTACATGGTAAGTAGTAGGCTAATAATAAAATTTATATTAATTTTTAAAAAAGGGTAATTTAGTTTTAGTAAGGTGGATAATTTTTTATAGGGTTAGTATTAAGGTGCCATAATATATTAATATATAAAATATAAATAAATAAAAGTTTTTATTATAGCTTTTATTTTTAGCTAAAAAAAATTTTTATTTTACTAAAAATTTAGTTTTTTATAAATTAAAATATTCTGTTAAAAAATTATTATAATATACTTAAATAATTATAGTTTTAAGCCTTTAATTTAATAAAATA